TGCTCCATCACCGGCTTGAACATATCTGCTAACATTTTCATGATGTCTGCTCCCTCTTCTGATTTTGGGCCGCCATTTTATACGATTGTTTACAGTTTCAAATGGCTTCTCACGGACTCGAAAAATCATCACCTTGATGTCAGCGCTCAAATAAGTCTCTCAAAACAAAATTGCTGCTTATTTCCCTCCTGCCCTCTTCGTTAAGCTTATCTGTCCATTTGCATAAGAGGCGTCCCTCTTTGCGCTCCGCTTTTCCCACGGGGGAGGGGTCGCTTTAAAAATATTCCGTTTATTTTGAACGCACATTCATTGTCGGTCATTTCTCCGACCTCGCTATTCCGCTCGATCTCCAGCGCTTGTCCCAGTCGAATCAGCTTGTGCCCAAGGGCCACACAGTGGCAGGACCATCAGGGCGGAGGGGAGCCTCAATTCTCCAGTATTTAGCCGTCGAAGAGGCTGCCCCTCAAAAGCCCTATGGCCTGGAGCCTATCACAAAGGCTCCGAGTGGGTGCTACTTGAGGTAGCACCCCTCCATACTGCTGGTGTGTGAGTCGCTCCCCCGAGGTCCGGGGAGAACGACCGCCATCGCTGATCCACAGACCAGAAGACCGATTTTCTAAGATCTGTTAAGCATCCTATGGCCTCCTTGTCTGTAAAAAATCAATCACTCTTTATTACACAACTTTACATGAACAGTGACAGAACTGGATGCTGACATGTATGCAACTGGTATGCTGAGAAGTAAGGCGGGTTAAGAATTATGTCTGAAACCACAAAGCATTATTCGTTCAAGCAGAAACGAGTTCAGGAACAAGCAGGATGGGCAACTGTATATATTAACTTCTAAGTAATCCTAAATCCTTAATAAATACTAAATCCTGACTAAATACTAAATCCTTACTAAAGTCTAAGTAACAGCGTTCCGTGCACCTTGGCATCTAGTCATGCCAGCCACATGACCACGGAAACGTCTTTGGACAGCGCTGGCTCTTCGGCTTGGAAACAGAAATGGGCACCGCATCCCTAGAGTCAGATTCGACTGGCTTTCGAGCAAGGGAAACCTTTACTTTTAACTAAGTAATCCCAACTAACAGCAAAATTTTTAAAATGTTTATACCAAAGCAAATCATAATGAATTCAGGGGGATTTGTTATCTGCTAAGCAGACTTAAGAATGCAGCCCCAAATGGTAAACCTGGATTGCAAAATGTGACAAATGGAGATTCATGGAGGTTTGTGGTTCATAGGGTCTCACAGGTTAAAATGGATGCAAGCCATTTCAGCGATTCCTATCGTGCCCCCCCCAACTTTCCAAACACAACCTCCCGAAATCATGTGGAGGGTCATAGATAGGGATGGGCACAAATCTCCGGTATGCAAACCACAAACCAGAGATGTTCATCACGAAATTAGGTTCGTGATGAGGTTCATGGCCATCACTATTTTCAACATCTCCTTTTTAACAGCTGCATAAGGTAAAAGCAGTGGAAAGCACAGCAGGAGAGGGAACGACAGCAGCAAATGTAACTGAGGGGAGTGTTTTCCAGCTAAAAGAGTTAGCACGTGCTCTTGCCGAAGAGGAGCTTCCAGATAGGTGGGAAGTGGAAACCGTGAATGGCTATCATCAGTTGTTTAGGGAAAGTGTTGTTGATTCTTTGTATTTAGTTTATTAAAGTATTTATGCATCACCTTTTCAGCTAACCATGAAGGCCCTGGGCAACTTACAAAAAACCTAATCCTCAGGTAAAACAGTTAAAACAAACAGAAAAATCCCAGACAGAACAGCCACACAACTACTCTGGTACACTTTAAAATGCTTACCTTGTGGGTTGTTTCCTTTTAAAACGTAGTTTGATAATAGGTGTGCCACTAAACATTCTTCCAAGGTAGAGTGACTTAATACTTTTTTCAGCAGCAAAAGATACACAAGGCAAAATATCCTATACAAGGAAAAAACCAAAAACATAGATCAAAACTCCTCAAAACAAAGTGTTGAAAGAACGATGAAAACGACAAGCAATACATTTTCTTTATTTTCTAATGGTGTTAATTTGATGACCGTGTACTCAGCTGGCAGAAGCATGCATGTGTGTGTGTGTGGGGGGGTATAACTAAACCAGGCATTCTTGAAGATGTCACCCAATACATTTCTACGGGCTAGTGCAATGTTAGCATCTGTTTCTAAACCCTGGCTGGGCAAAGAAACATCAGTGCATCTAGGCAAAGGCCAGGTTGCTACAGTGTTCACAGTTAATGTATTTTCTTCCTGAGGAAGCAGGTGACAAGAGCTTAGTTAATGGGATCTTGGTTGGGACCTCTTTGGAAGCAGGTTTCCTGACTGCCACAGGCATACACAGTTCTTATGCCAGCCTTTTACAACTCTCACTGAGACAGTTTTTTCTTCTTTGCACATTATGTGTTTCGGAGCACTGAAACTAAATTCCTCTCTTTCTACTCAGTACAGTAAGAATTAAATGCTACCTCACAGGTATTCATGTCACTGGAAAGCTTAACTCCTCCTCTTCCATTACAGTGGCAGCTGTAACTTCCTGGTGAATTGACACAGGTTTGCTCACAAAGGTTTTGTGCACATTCGTCCTCATCTATACAACACCAACAGAGGGAAAGCAGAGACATTGTTCCTTATATTAATTTTAAAAAAATAAAGCAACAGAAAATGACCCATAAGACAGAAGTGCTCCTAGTGAATGGAAGATCTGACCCCAGACGTAAGGCATTACCCGTTCTGGATGGGGCTGCACTCAAAGTTCTACATTCCCCTGCCTCTATTTCCCTACCCCTGTAAGTTGCATGAGCAAAAAGGGGAAGCTAGAATCCAAGCCAATGTAGAATACTATCAATAAAACAGTACAATTAAAACAGTTATGCTAGAATACTTAAAAAAACCAGCCTAAAACAGCAACACAAAGAAAGCTGAACTCATAACAGTTAATTGATACCTAGGGAAGGCTTTTTATATAAACATGTCTTCACTTGTTGGTGGAAGCCACCAGTGAGAAAGCCCTCTTCCATACAAATGAAGATATCTTGATTAGCAATGAACCCCTTTTTTTGCATCTCAGGAAGGCCCATACAGCATCACTGGAGATAGTTCATATTAGCTCTCTGCCACAGTCATTAAATCACACAGCTATCAAGTCACAGAAAACTTAAACGTTTGTTCTGAAAATAGGCATTATTTAGGGTCAGAAGAATAAACCTGGCCCTATTATAGAGTATAGGGTTGACTGCCAAAGTATCCCTCCCAAAAGATAGTTTGCCAACAAGATTGTTACGAGTCCCAATCATTCTAGATCCTCTTCACGTTTTTTAATTTTTTTAAAAATTGGGCATTTTTCAAGCCATTAAAGATGGTTGAAAATCATGGCAGTGAGTTGGATCCTATGGATCTGTTCCACTAATGGAACAGATTGACGTCTCCTGACATAAGAGGCTCTTCTATTAGTGGAGCAAATACAGTTTTGCATGGATAACAAACATTAGAATTAGCATTCTAGAGGTTAAAATGTAATCTAGTAAAAGAAGAAAACAATATAGCAACAGAATATATCACATATTGGTTTTTCACTGAATACATCCCATTTACTAACCTTGGCAAACCTTTCTCACATCGTCATACTTGTAGCCTTCATCACAAAAGCATGAATAGGAACTTATAAAATTATTACACTGAGCCTCTCCACAAATGCCCGGTGATACCATGCATTCATCTATATCTGAAACAGAGGAAGGGGGGGAGGGACCCAACAGGATTAAAGAAAAATAATCAGAATGTCAACCTCATTTCATTATCTGCCTCTAATATTAAATCCTGGCCCAGAGTCAATTATCCTGCCATGGTCAGAACACAAAAATGGAAGCCGGAAATAACCTTCAGGGTTCCCACAAACAAGAAGCTGGGAAGCTGCTGTAGGCTTTGGATAAAAGCTATTAATTTACAAACAACAAGAAAAAAAATAACTTGAAAATGATAACTGTATAAAGGAAGGTCAGAAATGGTGTGATAAAAAGATCACAGAACTAAGAATTGACAAATCATTTGTTCTGCTCAGGAAATAAGCCAGGAGTTAAAACCAAAACGAGACTTCATCCAGCAAGAAAAATTCCATATATGGAAGTGAGTTTATGCATGGTGTTTCCTTGCACAAGAAGCACAAGCAGTTGTCCATACAAATTCACATCTGCAAAGTGATGAGAATCAGTACAAGGCACCCAGTCTGATTTACACTTGCAATGTAGAGAACATCACCAAACACTCACTCATTGCTGTCTAAAATGCAAAATTTTCATTCGTGCAGTAGCTAACTTGGGACACTTGAGTTCAGTTCCTCGCTCAGTCATGAAACTAGTTATACTAGGTCACAGCTACAATTGCAGCAGTCACTGTCTCTCAGCCTCATCTATTTCTCAGAGCTGCTGTGAGGATAAAAAAGGATAACAACTTCATACATGGGATTCGGAGTTGCTTGAAAGAAAAGAGGGGTTTATTCAAGCCTACAAAATGCCCAGCCCTAGAACCTTTCGAAAACCAGACTCCATGTTACAGAGATTCTGACATCATGGTTTACAGTCCTGTAAATATTTCTGGTAACGAGGAACACCAAAATCCAAGGAGAAGTTTGGCAAAGACGGGTTTTTGTAAAGATTCCAGAGAATCCTGCGGATCAAAAAACAAAGCCAACTGCCACAGAGAAAGGTACAATTGTCACTGTTCAGAAAACACAACAGAAAGTAAGAAAGTTCATGCAATGACATCATAAACTAATTAGACGAATAAAATAAAAAGGCCGTATTCAGCAACACAAATGACAAGAGGTTTGGCTATGCCATATCGCTTTGCAGAGGGAATCTTTAGACGGAAACTGATGAACAATTTAAGCCATAATGAAAAATTTATTAGGGTCCCAGTCACACAGGCCGGAAAATGAGGGGGGGAAGCGTGGCTGTTTGCCCCAGAGCAAAGTAATGTGCGGCTGCCCGATCACACTCCCGTCGAGGTCCCGTGGTTAGGGGGTGAAGTGCCGATCACACGGCTATCCTGCAGCACGGCAAAGAAGCGGGGCGATCACAGCAGCAATCGCTAGGCACTGCTTCCATGGCAAACAGGGGTTTTTTTAACCGAAGTTTGTGCGCATGTGCAATTTGCACATCCTGCGCGACTTGGGGAGAAAAAACCCTTGTTTGCGAAGGAACATCGGTGGGCGCTGGATGCCATGGGATTCCACCGGAAACGCGATCAGACGCCCGCCCTTGCCCCGCAGTGTCCGGAAACTAGTACCTCGTAAGTACTAGTTTTTTAGTCCGCATCTTCGGTGGGACGTCACGGGATAGCCACAGGAGCACTATGCTTCCCAGATGTTGCGGTGTAATCGCGCCCGGAAAATCCGCCTATCATCCATATCTTTAGCGCGGCAAATGCTCTGTGTGACCAGGGCCCTGGCAAAGCCATTCAGGCTAACATATGCCAGCTGCGCAGTTTCTCTAAGAGGGCAGATCTTCCAGGCTTTTCCCTCTGGTAACTGCACTGCACAGAAAACGCTCTGCTTAAAAGGCAAGTATATATTTTTCCTGGAATTGACACACACATAGCTACACCATCTACACTGGTCCTGCACTTGTCCCCACGTGCTATTATAATTCAAATATTTGCTATTATAACTCAATACATCCGAAGCCCAGTTTTTCTGGACAGGCATTACAGAAGGAAACAACGTATCATGAGCTAGCATCACAATATATCAGCAACTTTTTTTGCAGATTATTCGACTTCCTCCAAAAACATTATTAAAATTGTGACCACACCACCTTCATTTAAGATTCTTCTTTTCCTTTTCTCTCTGCCTTATTTTTTTTTACCTCATATTTCCTTTTCCTTCTACAGAATTATTTTTTGATATATGAGAAAATGGGGACAGAGAAAGGATTCAGCTTCTTTGGCCTGCATCCCACAAAATGATGATTTTGTTCTGACAGAAATGTTACATGGCAGCTTACTGGGGGGAAAACCCCAAGAGTTATCATAAACATTTCTACCCTTGTCACCAGAGCATTTCTCTAGTAATTAATCTTAAACCAGATTTTTTACCCCACATAAGTTTTTTTTTTAAGTATACACTGCCAAACCCCAAACATTTCATGATATAATGCAATGCAGTCCAGCAAGATTAAGGTGGGGGGGGGAGACACACATTTGCCAGATGTTGCTTTTCTCTGTGTCAGAGAAAACTGGTTAGCTGGGGCACTTTGGCACAATCCACTACACGATTCCTTTGTGAATCACGCCTTTGCTATGGTGCTGGATAGCTCTTGTGGTATGACTTCAGGCATGCCTGGGCATGAATTCCTGGCTTTTCATAATGAAATCTTAAACCAATGATGTGTGACAAAATAAGAAGCATTAGCAATAGTTTAGTTCAGCATTCAGTGCTGACAAAGTAATAAACGCAATACTGAGTCTCACGGAACCTCAAAGGGTTAGTACATTCATCGAGGCTTAAGCTTTTCTGGACTAGAATCCACTTTGTCAGAGGTGAGTGGGCTCTAAGCCAAAAAGAACAATAAACATGGCAAATATGTTAGTTTTTCAGATGCCTCCAGAGTATTTTCTTCTGGTTTTGATATAGCAGACTGATATGATTATACCTTTGTAATGAATGGAATTTTCACCCAGCAGAACTGGTGCTGAGAGGTTATTCCAACAGTCTGTGCAGCAAACCCCTTTTGTGAAACCCCTCTGGATCTCACAGTGACCACGCAACAACATTCACCTTGGACCTCAGTACACAAAGAAAAAGCTTAAATCACAGTATCTTACCTTCACAAGTTTTGTTGTCTTTCTGAAGAGCATAGCCAGTATGACACGAACAGCGATAGCTGCCTTTCTTGTTTGAACAGGTCTGCTGACAGCCACCATTCTTCTCCAAACACTCATTAATATCTGGATATAGATACAGAATAATTGATTTCAAAATCACACAGGATTAGGAAAAGCATATATCAAGACAATGGGTTGGATCCAATCAGATCCTCAACTAAAATCACAGATGCTCAATACTTTCAACAAATTGATTTAAAATTTTTTGTTGTTGTTTGTTTAAATTGTTACATTGAGTATTTATATTTATTTACATTTTCTCCCCTCCCTCCCTCTCTCCCTCCCTCCCTCTTTTTTACTCATAGTCTCTTCCCCACAGCCAAGGGCACAGAGTCTTAATCTTCCACTGAATGTCCTTCCTTCTTTCAACAAATTGATTTAAACCATCTAGTTTGGGAGAATTTGGGATGATTTTAAATGTTAAACAGAATTTCTTATCAGTATTTATACAAAGGTTAAATCAGATAGCCCAGATTTGGAGGTGCACATTATCAATATGTTGATGACATTCAGCTACAAATGACATTAATTAAGCTTCCAGAAGTAGCTGTGTTTGTCCCTAGATGTCAAATGAATGAGGGTGAACAACCTAAATCCAGATGAGACGGAGATGGCGTTGGTTGTAAAAGCTGATGTCCTGGATTAATTTTTCCCTCTTGTGCTTGTTAAAGCTACTACTAGCAGTTCATGTGCTGGATCTAATCTGTGTTCTGCTGGTGGAAACAGCTGGGAGGATCTCCTTTGGCTACCCAAAAAGGCAGCGCTAGGGATCATGGGGCCTGCATGGCAAAGGCCATGTGGGACACAAGCTATAGTAAGGAGGAGAATCTAGCAAGGCTGAGCAGAAAAGCTGGCAAGATCCAACTCCATCTTTAGAGCTTAAGATTCTTCTGCAACCCACGAAGTTAATAAAGAAAAAACAGACTCGAGTGGTTGTCAGGCATGCAGAACCATAAGCAGCACAGTAACAGACTTACCTACTTCACACCTTTCTCCTTGCCACCCTCCTTTGCAATGGCAAAAGAATGTACCCTTCTTATCTTCACATGTTTTAGTACCTTCTTTATGGCATGGGTTAGGTGAACACTGATCTGGCAGATCTGTGGGGGGGATATCTTTATCATAAATTTTTTAGTCTTGAAATAAAATAGTTAAACAAGAAACCACATCCCTTCCTTCTAATTCTCCACTCAAGGCTTTGCCGCCTCCATCACCAATAAAACTGAATCTCCCTTGGCTCTAGCATCTCCATTTCTCCCCTTCCCCATTTCCCTTCCCCCACTGAAACATAAAGCCTTGGTTTTACCTTTGATTATTTTCTGTATTTTGCTCCCCATATTCAGCCTTTTGCCAAAGAAACTAATTTCACCTTTCACACTGCAACTGCAGCCATTACCCTGTTGCTATGGTGAAAACTGCTATCCACACTCTGATCGTTTCTTGCCTTTACTGCAAAATTTCTCCTTTCTGGGTTCCCATTGTTACACCTCAGTCCCCTCTTCTCTATCCAACACGCAAGAACCAAACGTATTCACATATCTCATTGCTCTGACAATACCTCTCTCTGTCTTCCACCTGGATCCAACAGGCATTCCTCCTCCTTAGTTTCAAAGCCTTCTGGTCTTGTTCCCCCTTAGGGCTGCCAAGTGGGGGTGGGGGGTGGGTAAACCACCGCTTCGGAGGCCCGATTTCCGCTGCCGCGGAATCGGGCCCTGGGGGGAACTCCACCCCCCGAAGCGCAGCGTGGCTGCGTCACCAGAGGTGATGCAACTGATCCATTCCAGCTGGGGAACTTGAGTAGTCTAGCTCCACCACATTCCACCATCCAAATGTCTCCCACAAATTCAAATAATTCTGGTGTTTTTTTCCTTGCTGTTGCTTATACTTAAGAGTGGCCCTCCAGAACACACCTGGCTGATGCTGCCTCTCTTCTCACATCCTTCATCTCTCTCCTCAAAATCCACCTCTTCCACAAAGGCTTTGGCACAGCCCCCAAGTCCCCATTTCCATCCAAAGACATGTCTTATGTGAAATGAATGCATGTTCTTCCCTTGTTTACAGCCATTTCCCCTATGATGAATTTTAATTTTTAAGCCACTCGGTGGAAGAATCTGTCTTCTTGTACTTGTACTCTTCAAAGTGTCATGTACATTGATGGGATTACCAAGTCAATATCACCATTTAAGCTTCATATCCCAATCATTACATCTTCCTTTACTATTATCCGTTAGAAAAGAAAGAGACATTGGCTGCGGTCACACAAGCAGTTTGCAGTGATATCATTGCGGTATCTTTGCAGATTTAAAGAGCATGATCCGAAGACACCTGCCTTCCATGCCCTAGTCATGGCCACACCGTTTTGGCCCGCTTCGGAAGCAGAGTAACCAGGAGCTAGGGAAAGTCCGGTCTTTACCGATGCCAGTGCTCCCACTCCACTTTTCTGGCCATCTGAACTCCCCTCTCCCGAACCGAAGCCAGATGGGAAGTCTGAACTGGCAGATCCATTTCCACCGTGTTTTTTAATAGCTGCTGATATTCGCATAAGTGCATGTATGTGCATGCACCCACCTGTTTTTTTTAGAAACCAACCAGGCCGCACACTCCATGGTTGAGGCGCTGCTGTAATCTGGAGGCCTCACCACCGGATGAGCGCACAGGAAAACCACCCCAGGGTGTGCTGTCTGGTCAGTTCTTCCCACAACAATTTGAACTGGCGCACTTAGAGGCAAGTCCAGACCACACCAAGCCTCCAGTGTGACCACAGCCATTGCATTATAAAGAAAAACACCATTTTTTTCTGTGCTCAGTACAGTAAATCTTTTATTACTCTTCCACATGCTTATCAAACTACTTCCTTAGCACTTCAACATATTGGGCTGAATCCCATCTAAATTGCATGCATGGAAATGTGGCTTCTCTGCTTTCTTCCTCCCAGTGCAGCCTGAAATGCTGCTTCTGAAGTATATGGGACCTCCAGGAGCAGGAAGGAAGGGGGGAGTTAAAGGGCTGCTAGAGGGGAAACCAGCAAAAACTGCTTCCCCCCCCCCCGGGTGTGCAGATCTTTTTCACAGGATCCATCCCATTCTCCCAAAGTAACCAGTCTTAAATTAGCATGAATATACAGCTTTGGTCACAAGTTCAGTTAACTTGTGGCGGGGAGAATTAATTGGTGTATTTCTTAGCAACAACAATCACTGAAGCTGGATAGACATCCTTCCACAGAGATAATTCCACTCAGACAGCAATCATCATCCACAATTTGAGCAGGCTGCACAGGTGCTCGACGATCTTGCACCATTGGTTTTAGGGAGCATGAAACTTGCTTGTACTTTCCAGACGTGTGCTATATAGATCACCCCCGCCCCCAACAGCATACAAAATACGTACTATGTTCTATATGTATTTGCCGTTTTTCAAAGAGAAGAAAAGGAGGTTCTTAGAATGGAGCTGCCAGCATTTTTAATCTGCAAATCAGCAGGCATGTGAGGACCCAGTTCAAAACGGTACAGCACCACAAGGGGAAGGGGTAGACTAAAGCATCTCCCCTTGTGCCATTTTTCTGACCAGAAATGGACTCTTAGCTACTGTTTACCCTGTTGGACCACAAACATACCATTAAGTGCCATTAAGTCACATCTGATTTATGGTGAACCTGGCAAGGGGCTTTCAAGGCAACTGAGAAGGAGAGGTGGTTTGCCATGGCGTTCTCTGCAGAGTCTTCCTTGGGACCTTTCAAAGTCCCAACCCTGCTTAGCTTCTGATACCTTACTAGTTAGGACTATACCATGCCACTTTCCTTCCCACCACAAAATGTAAGGCTACCTATACCAGTGCCCATTCACCCAATGGGGCAAACAGTAGGTGTATGGGAACCATTTCAGGTTGGGAAAATGCTGATGGGTAGTAGTGGAAAAGACCTGATCCGAATTGGGCCTACTAATGCTTACAGTGTGAAGAAAGTAATGAGAATTTTATGCATGGAACTCCCTGGTTTGGTCTTAAACACAGACTGATTTCTCACATATACAAAGAACTATGAACCTTTATTCTTGCAGGTTGATTGCCATCAGCATTATCTGCCGGTGGCGCATTTTGATGGGCATTTCTATTTCTGCCCCTAGCTCCATTCTGTTTTAAAATATGATAGGATTGCAGCTCAGCTGGGAGACAAGCTCTAGGCCTAAGCAGATAGTACTTCAGAAATCTTCCAGAGGAGATAAGAACTTATCTTGAGTCATAGCACAGAGTTCTGTTGTGAGAAAAGGGGGACAAAAACTCTGATTCTTAAGGAATGGTATGTGAGTATACTCTGTTCAAGACAGACATATCTATAATATTTTATCTTGAAACTCAGACTCTGCTATTTGAGGAAGTCTACAACTGAATGGTTAAGCGCTAAAGAATACCTCATCAGAAGGTTTCACCCAGAAAAGTAAGCAAAATCTATTGCTCTTGCAAATCCCTGTAAGCAAAAACTTGGAAGAAAGGTATGCTAAAGCCCTCACAGAAGAGAGATGGAGGTGGAACTCACATTAGCACACACATACATCTGATTTTACTTGTTGTACGGAACAATTCATAATACTTTAGAAATTTGATGAATCTATATTTCTCCCCTACCCCTTTTTTCCTTCTGTATCCCACCCTTTAAAGAGAAAATAAAATAATAAAAAAAATTATTTACAAGCACACACAGCTGCTGCTTCCATTCAGATCAGAATAAATCTATTTGAAATATTTTCTTTGCAACTTTTTATCAATAGGTTTGCATTATTTATCTCTCAGGGTCCACTCACCACCATGGGTCAGTGCTAAGTGATGGTGGCAGTGAATAGGAGCAATATCAGCTGCAGGAACTAGATTGGCAGAGGGAAAAGGGGTCCCACAATGAACTGTCTTTACCGTTTTTGATGTCACAACTACACAAAGGATGACAATGCCCTATTAACTTACTCCCAAGAATTCTTCAGCATAAAATAAGAAGGGTCAGCTAAAAAATGTTGTTCTGGCCAGCGGCTCCTGAGGTTTTTGCTTATTATATGGGGTTGCCCTTGAAGACCACTCGGAAATGACAAGCAGTCCAGAACGCAGCAACTTGTTTACTAACATGAGTCAACTGGACTACTCATATGATCTCAGTATTGCAGGGGGTTCCCCAGCCTTTTTGAACCTGCAGGCACTTTTGGAATTCTGACACAATATGAAGGCAGCAAGCACAAAATGGCTGCCGCAGGAGGCAGAGCCAGCCATACCAGGTCACACAGGAAAGATCCCTGTGGTGGCAGCTGCTGATAAAGCACCATTTTAAAAAGCAACAAAACTCCAGTTGTGACTCAGAAGTTTTGCTGGGCAAAAGCAACACTCGGTTCCACCTACTTTCTAAAAACACTTAGTGGACACATCGAAAGGTGTTAGCAGACACCATGACACTCACGGGCACCATGGTGGCTCCACTGCAATACTGTAACAGTGATATTTGTTACCAGATTGTTCCAGATCCAACTCCAGGTGCTTGTTTTTACCCTGAAAGCCCCTTACCCTCTGGATCCCATATAGCTGCTTCTCTAACTAGGTCTGCCACCTCTCTCCTCATGAAAAGAAGTGAGGACCATAAGGGCAAAAATGTTTTCAATGGCAGCTCCATCATTGTAGAATGGGCTGCTTCTTCTCTTGTACTGTTTAGTCAGCAGTGTAAGGCAGTGCCATTTAGGCAAACTTGTACTGGACTTGGTTTTGTTAGGAAAATGCTGTCAGGAAATAGGGATGCCAGCCTCCTGGGGGGACCTGGGGATCCCCCAGAATTACAACTTCTCTCCAGACTACAGAGAGCAGTTCCCCTGGAGAAAATGGATGCTTTGGAGGATGAACTCGATGGCATTGTAGCCCACTGGGGTCCCCAAGCTTCACCCCCAAATCTCCATGAATTCCCCAACTGGGAGCTGGGGAACTGGGAGCCTACCCCCCTCACCAGTGGCCAGGGAGGACCAGGCAACCCTATAAGGAAACATTAGACATGGTTTTAATGTAGGTCCATGTTCTTGTGAGTCTTACATTATTTGTTTTCAGCTTGCATTGCAAACCACTTTCTATATAGCAGAAAAGCTGTAATAAATAAACAAACCCCATAATTAAGTTGATGCCACATCTGTTAACATTCTGGTAAATCCATCACAATGCTAATAGCCCCTGATTTTGAAAACTCAATGGAGTGCAAACTGCCTCTCTTTTAGGCTGCAAGTTCATACGTTCCTAAGATTACACGATTCATGTCATTGGATACAACGCTAAGAAGTTGGTAAAAATGATCAGCTCCTCACACAAGCCACATTAGATTCCTATGGTTCATTTCCCAGAAGAGATTTTAGATATTGTGCTTGTGGGTCCCCCCCCCCCAGATCATATGCCCAAATACAATTCTAAACAGTTACACCCTTCTAAGTTAATTGACTTTAACAGACTTGGCAGGGCACAACACTGCACAGGATGACATTTTTCATTTCAGTTTTACCCCTCACTGGTCTGTAATAAATTTTAATTCAGGTTTAATTTTTTTTAAAGAAAAATATAGAAAGAACTTTGTGCAATCAAGGCCTGGTGTACACCCATATTCCAGTAAACATTATACAATGTGCCACAAAATTGGGGGAAATTTGAGACAGCATCATGAGGAAACTAGACATCCTCTACTGAAAGAAATTGATGAATGGCATACAGATATACAGACCAGTGCATAAATGCAACAACATAAAAACAACATTTAAAACAATGTTTGCAAGCAGGTCTATACTAGCAGAATAGGAAACAAACTGGGAAGACAGATCGCACCAAAGATTTATCTGAACTGTTGTTTTCTATTACTTATAATTAGGATTTCATTTTAAAATTTCAGAGTATCACACAAAGGTTCAGTTCAGACATCACATGCATCACGGTTTCATCAAATTAAATACAGTTCATGTAATTGCCTGATGAAAAACCACGGTCTCAAGCAAGGTCTGTAGGGCTGGCAATATAAAACCAGACAGTATTATCCAGTGATGGCGAACCTTTTAGAGACCGAGTGCCCAAACTGCGACCCAAAACCCACTTATTTATCGCAAAGTGCCAACACAGCAATTTAACCTGAATACTGAGGTTTTACTTTAGAAAAAACAACTCATACATTAACTTAAGATGAACCAAACAAAGTAAGGAAAGCAATCCCAAATGCTTTCATTTACTTAAAATTATGTGGCAGAGAATTCGACACTTTAATGATGGTCTGGGCCTGGCTGGGGCGATGGCACGCGTGCCCACAGAGAGGGCTCTGAGTGCCACCTCTGGCACCCGTGCCATAGGTTCGCCACCACTGTAATCTGTGAACTTCTTTTTTAACCTGCCCTTTCCCAAACAGCCATTATGCTGATTTAAGTATATTAAATATACCTTACCAAAAAGACTATTAAAACAAAGAGCTTAATCATATACCACATTTTGGAAAAGGAGAAGTAACTGGTATAAAGTGAGCGGAAATGCCCAAACTTTCATGTAAATGAGAACTAAAGCTTTAAATATGGTCCATAACACATCATGTGAACAGAAGAAATGTCCAGAATAACTTTACAACATAATGCCTTTGTCTTGGAAAAACAGAAGGATAGAAACATCATGCCCAACTCTCTGAGGAACAAGAGATCAACATATTGAGAAATGCAAGGAGACAAGGAACAGTGTAAATGAAATTCAATGTGGATTGCAATGACCTGTGATGGACAAAAAAAATAACACTATACTTAATTGTAACATAGAAATACGAAAAATGCTTACTATGCACACATGTATGGAAATCTGGACTTCTTGAGCCATACGTATTAATACATGCTGAAGAACAAAAACAAAATAATTATTAAGCCAGAAGCCAAAACCCCACTAATCTCTTATCTACTGATACTATATTCAGCACAGTTGATTATATTTACATTAATGTTGTACTTTGATTAAACATAGAACTCTAAATTCCTTAAATATATTTTCATTTCGTCTGCATGTTTTGACTCCACTATGTCATTGTTCTCCACCATGTCACTGCAAAGTTAATAATGCTACTCTGTGTTATCAATCTTCTACCAGATTTTACCAGATGCTAAAAGGCTGAACTGCAGACCAGAAGGTCAGTAGTTCAGCAGTTCGAGACCCTAGTGCCACGTGACGGAGTGAGCTCCAGTCTCTGGTCCCAGCTCCTGCCAACCTAACAGTTTGAAAGCAAGAAATTACAAGTAGATAAATAGGTACCACTTTGGTGGGAAGGTAACTGTCTTCCGTGCGCCTTGACCACGGAGGCATCTTCGGACAGCACTGGCTCTTCGGCTTGGAAACGTTGAGCACTGCACCCTAGAGTCGGATTCGACTGGCTTTCGAGCAAGGGAAACCTTTACCTTTACCTAAAAGGATATTAATACCTAGATATTATTGTAGCTAACTGAGAAGAACAAGATTCTGAGGAGCTGACTCAAGATATTTAAAGGATATACTTAGTTACTTGCAGTGCCCTTCTGAGCAGAGTTAAACCCTTCCAGTTCTATTGAAGTCAGTGGGCACACAATGCATAGTTACTTAAGTCCTTTGACTTAAGATGGCACTTTTAGTCTCCCATTTGGCTAACTTGTTGACATGGTCATGGTGCCCCCCCATCTTATTATTTGTTCCTTGACCTTTTGGTTAACTTGTTGACATGGTCATGCCCCCCCATCTTATTATTTGTTCCTTGAAAAATAAAAATATAGTGTTTTTTAAAAAAGAAAGCATATATGACTTTTTTTGTATTTTGTGTGTGTGGTTATGAGCCTGGAAGTCACGGTGACTATTGGCAACCCCTAGTGGGGCTAGGACATTACAGAGAAGTGGCTTGATATTACCTGCCTCTGCATCCTGGCCCTGGTATTCCTTGGAGGTCGCCCTTCCAAGTACTTGCCAGGGTCAGCCCTGCTTAGGTTCCAAGATCTGATGAGATCGGGCTTGCCTGGGCTATCCAGGTCAGGGCAGCATATATGAGTTTTGTCAGGACTGTCGTGTTTACGTGCTTAACGCAAGTACACTAGGACAATAATAAGTCACACATTTTCAGTGACCAGATGTATATGGGTATTAGCGTTTAGGGGTATTCAAGTGAAAGTACTGTAACATATCGCTACAAGAGATGGAATATCTTAGGGAACCAAATAAAACATCAGCATGGAAATACTCTTATGTACCAGGGGGGAATGTTCCTGCAACATTTCCTGGGCCTGGAAGTGCCATCTAAAATCCAGTCAAGTAGTCTTGAATACCAACATTGATCAACTGGTGGAGAGGCGGGTGCTTGCTCACCCGGCCTACAAACAAATGGTGTTTGCTAATCAAGAATAACCAGTGTTTTTCTTGTTTAAAAAGGTTGCAATGATTTCCACCAGTCTTCCCCTCAGGACTTGGGAGAGTGCTGCAAAACGGTGCTGATACTCAGTACCTGGCAAGTACCACCACACACAGAAAAAAGCCCTGAGAATTACCAGCTCTTCTCTGGATTGGACTTTACAGTTCAGCATTTGGTGAAAACAGAGATCAAACATGCTTCGCTACATGCTTTCACACCATTCTGAACCACTGCTAGTGTATTAAAAATTGCACTTTTTTTTAAACCACAAGAAGCAATACGGTTAGATTTAAAAAGAGCTATGCTGCCATATAGCAGGGCCTAACAACATACAAAAAAGCCAGCACCACCAAACATTGAAAAGGTGTTAACTGCAACTCACCCAAGTATTTCGGGTAAAAATAGTCCTGTAGGAGAAACAAAAGGAAAGAGTTTTATTGGAAATATACATTTTATCTGCAACTGCATTTATTAAAATGGCTACTGAGAGTGACACTAGGCCTTTCCTTAAAGAGAAGGGGAAAGCATCTCCTCTCGCCCTCCTCATTCCCGAATATTCCAAAGTTGCTTGCTACAGCTGTGGAATTAATATTCATAAACAGGAGTTACTTTTAATGGAATTTAGGACAGACCTTGAAGCAATAGTTAGGTCCTGACAAATACTTAAAGCTTACCCTAACTCTGACTGCTTCTTTCTAGCAGCCTGGAGCACAAGACCAGCCTTAAAAGTGAGCCACAGAACCAAACAGCACTTTATGTAGTAGTGAAATAAAGCAAAATTATTTTCTAAGACTTTTAGTTCCCAATGACTGACAGATAGTGGCTGCAGTGAGAATGCAGCAAAATAAGAAAGAGAACAGAAAACGTGCAGTACAAAGAAGTGGTAATAGCAAGCTTGCGGGGGGTCATAAGGCACACACCCCGCCCCCAATGGTCCCGGCCGCCACCGCCGGCCTTGCAGCTCCACTGCCAAGCCCCATGAGGGGCCCGGCGGTGGACCTGCAAGGCCAGCGGGAGTGCAAGGAAGCCCCGCAAAGGCCCTCCCTGGCCCCAGGCAGGCAGGGGTGGGGAGAGGCTGGGAGGAAACAACTTACCCTCCCTCTTCTCCTGCCTCCTCCTGGCTGAATGAGGGCCAGAAGCGAGGCAGCCGGAAGCAGGGGGCGGGGCTTCGTCATGTGCCCCGCCCCCCGTACCTCACCCGGGGGAGCTGCGATCCCCCGCGAAATGACCTCTGGTGGCAACAGTGCAGTTTACAGTTTACATTCTATTGCACCACTGAGCAAAGTCAGAAGCCTTCCTCCAGCATAAGGAGACTTCCACCAGTTTAAGTGATTCTTCTGCACATGGAACAACCACTTGTGTTGGCAGAGGCGTCCTCAGACTGGAGGAAACTAGGGTAGGATACATGCCCATTGTATGTACTTCCATGGGTGGGGGAGGGAGACTCAAGGCAAAGGTGCTGGAAAACTACACCAGGATTCTGACAACAAGATTCTATAAACTATGTTTGCAGGATAGCCCATTATTTATTGTTTTGTTAAGCAGTGAAACCTGAATCACATGTTATAAAGCACAGGGAAGCTGAAATTTAACTAAAAGATCACCCTTGCTGCATGCTTTTTAAAAGTCTTTTCTGGGGTATTTTTTCATATGTCCTTGCATGCGTGCGCACCTGGAAGTCATGGCGACTCTGGTGACTGACTGTGTGTGCACTTGGAAGTCATGGTGACCTCTGGGGACTGTCCCCTATTGGGGGCCTGGAGGATATTCAGAGAGGCGGCTGAATAAAGCCTGCTCCCACCTTCCAACTGCTGGTATTCCAAGGAGGTCTCCCATCCAAGTACTTTCCAGAGTCAACCCTGCTTAGCTTCTGAGATCTGACAAGACTGGGCTTGCCTGGGCTCCCTTGCTGCAAACCCAACATTCTGTTTTTCGTATGTGCCAATAGTCAATTTCTGTGGTTCATATTAATAAGATCAGCCTGTAATTCACACTCTATGAATCCATAATAGTTCTATGACTGTAAACTGGACTGCTCTGAAGGCAGTCAGGTGCGGCTTTCGATTATCTGCAAATCTTAAATAGTTATATTTACATTTGGAAAACAAACAAGAACTGAGTTGGAAACAATCTCTTGCTGCATGTGACATTTCACGTTATGAAGGCTTCCAGAAACACAGGTTCCTGTTCATTTTATACCAGAAAGATTAATTTGGCAGGAAGAGTAAATTCCATCCTACCACTGGAAAATGTTAGTTAAGATCAAGATGATAATATTGTTCAGAACGAACATGGGCTTATCTTTTAGAAATTATTATTCTTATGCAAAAACACTACACATGCAATAAGATGCAGAGGTCTGCTATAAAATTATGGAAGTACAATCCTATACTTCGTTTCCCATCCCTTCAAGGTTGTGCAACCAGAATTTAGCAAAGGCATGCATTAAATGCTACATCCATCTGCAGATGAGGACTTCAGAACTGTAAATATACTATAAATAAATATACTGTAAATAAACCACTTGAGCCACCGCAGCTCCTTAAATATACTATAGCATGTTTATAAATATCAAACTGTGTATATGAGTCATGAAATGTAAGAAGCTAATAATGACAGAAAAGGTGTTTTCCAACACTGGGCTCCTTTTCACGAGACTGGACTCCTTTTCACGAGACTAAGGGTTTGATCCTATGCCTTTGTTTTGTGTGCACTTCTTTTTATCCACTTCAGAGGTGATCCTCTGCCGTTTAGCTGCTTCCTGTAGGCTTAGGCTCCTGCACAAAACTAATGTTTTCCAAGGAAATGCCTGAAGTGCCTAGCATGGAGAAGAATATGCTCCACAGCAGAAGACCACCCTCACAGTGGACAAAAAGAAGTGCATGAGGAAATAAGGATCCAAGCCTAAATCCTTATTTATTTATAACTGTGGATTATTCATGGTTTGGGTTGCCCTGAAAGAACATAAAATTCTGAAGACCAAACAAATACATGCAAATGTCTGTTAATGGAAACACCTGTAACTTTCTCACATTTAAAAAAATGGGGGGGGGATCCTCCCAAAAGATCTCAAGTTGGGAGCAGTGGGGAAAGTAGATGCTCTTCTTTCTCCACTAAGGGAAAACAAAACAACATCGGGGGAGTGAGATTGTGTCTGGGGAAGAAGGCCACTGAAGACAAAGTTCGAGTCCAGCGGCACCTTTAAGACCAGTATCTCATACCTTGAAGCTCATACCTTGAATAAAACTTTGTTGGTCTTAAAAGGTGCCACTGGACTCAAAATCTGTTTTTCTGCTTCCGACCAACATGGCTGCCCCACCTGGATCTATCGCCAGTGAAGACAGTGTGAAGTGTGCATGCACACACCCACATTGCTTCTCTGTTTAAATCCAGAGCCTCCCGAGGCAGCTTTTCAAATGAAAAAAATACGCTACTTATATACTTCTCTATGTAAGATCTAGTGAGGCCTTAATATCATTTAAACTCATTTATTTAAATACTTTATGTGGCGCTTCTTCCCGCCACCAGCCAGCTGGCCGGCGGGGAGGGGGAGCCCCGCCCCCAAAAGCAACCACCCAGCCACTCTTACTGCAAGATTTAAAGGGCCCTCCAGCTGGCCCTTTAAATCTTGCAGGAGGGAGGGAGGAAGAGGGGTGGCCATGCACACCTACACACCAAGCCGCGAATTCACGGCTTGGAGTGCAGGCGTGAGATACCTCCCTCCCCCTTCTTCACAACAGCATTTAAACGGACCCTTTGAACGCCATTGGGAAGAAGTGGGGGCTGTGCGCCTGCTCTCCAAGCTGTGAATTCATGGCTTGGGAGTGCAGGCATGTGCAGGGGCCCCCTCCTCTTGCCAAAAGTGTTTAAAGAGACCCTTTAGGTGATTTTGGCAAGAAGCAAGGGGCGCAGGTCTCCAATGTGATCATGTCACTTCTGCATGATGTCATCATGTAGGGGAAGTCCCCGCCCCCTTCAGTAACACCCTCCAAAGTCCCCCACCAGGGACTTGAAAGGACCTGGCAACCCTAAAGAGGAAGGATTTAAAACACAGCCGATCTCTTTCCTTACATATGAGGGCTAGCAGCTTATGGTGATTAAGGGCATGAGCTAAAAGCTGCAGTTCCTAGTTCCAAAGGACAGCCAGGTTCTGTTAAATCCTGTCCCGAATCTTCCACGAGTGCTACAGCCATGGTCATGCACCATTTATTACACTTCTAATTAAGCACATGTACAAAGTATTTTATTCCTAAAACCATTCCCATCCCAAATGACCAAACAATCAGACATTATGTATGGCCCCTATGTGTTTCCTTTGTTCTAAACTTTATTTTTATAACTTCGTACGTAACAATCGACAAAGGAACATGTGTGAATTCATTACAGACTGAAAACTACTTATAACTATAACAAGTCAACAGTATCTATATAATGACTTTCAGTGTGTTTGGAATAAATGTGTTTCCAATACACAGGCAAGGATTGCATAATATAAGAATAGTTAAACAGGAGGCAAGCAGCCTCTTAAAGACTAACAAAATTGGTTCCACCAGAGCTTGTCATAAATTAAACCTTCCTTCATCAGAGGTAATTGATGTGAGCTCTGATTTATACTAGAATAAATACTGTTAAGTCTTTAGGGTGCTACTGCACTCCCACTTAATTTTGTTACAATGGACTTAACAAGGCTACCACCTCTGGCATTATAAGAAGGTATTGTGTGGGAATAAATTTGTTTCAGGACTGTAAAACGCAAATCAATACAAACATACATTCAATTCCCATCTATTGGTTTTTATGCTACCTACAGCATTTAGAAGCTAAAAATGAAATCACTCATTATGATAGCGAAACTCATCACAGGGAAAAAATAATGCAGGCTTTCTAGTTACACTCACAACAAAAGGAATTAACAATGACCTGATTGTATAACAATGCAAAATAAAAGACAGCAGACCCAGCTTTGTTTATACAAAACTATAATCCACGCCATGTGCCAGGTATCAACACAGCCCAAAATAGCAGATACAAACTTGGGCTGCATTCAGATGTCACAATAAGCACAATTAAACTTTAAATGGATACACTGGGCAGTGTCCTACTATCTGTACTCAGAAAGAACATGGCGTTTTCCCACATTCCCCTCTATCGCTGCAGCTCCCCGCCAACTGCTGGAAAGATCACTTCCAGGGTGTATAGGATTCTGCCCCTCAAGCCTGTCCAGGAATGAGGGGGAAGCCTATATTTTTCAGTACATGTACAACAACCCAGAGAGGTAAGCTACCCTCTCTGAATTTCAGAACAATATGCCACCAGAGTCTCTACAATAATCTATAGTCCCCTCCAGCTCAGAGCAGAAACTCAGATCTCTCAGCTGGCATCTGGGACTTAATACATCATTAACTCT